AGCGCAGAGTGATTGTAGCCATATATGTCAACTGGAATTGAAAATGGAATTAAAACTGCCTCCATTGCCAAGTTTCTTAGATATTACAAACTCAACATATTAACATACTACACAATCAAAAATCTTCCTCACCAATATGGATTTATGTATGCATCAACACTGCTTTGTCTTTTTCTTGCTAATATTTCATATATGTGTAGTAAAGTAAATGAGCAAAAATACGCTAATGGGCTTTTAATGGTATAAATCTATTTCTATCGCTGCTAAGATTGTAAAGTTAAATTCAATTATTAATTATTTATTTTCACTTATTTACTTAGGCAATAAAAAGCAGAACTATTGTAAAATGAATCTTATAAAAGTTCATTCTTTAAAAAATTCTGATAAAACATGGAAAAAATACTAGAAGTTTTAAATTGTAATTTATATTTAAAAAAAACCCTCAATAAATGCATATCAAAAGAAATTTAACTGTTGCTGATCTCATAAAAGAAGGCTGTCTTATCTAGGGGTATTGGTCTTTTTCCATAAAATCTGCTATAGTTAAGGTGTTTGCATTATGCCTCTCTTGCCTGTTTGAGTTTGCATTATGTCTCTCTCGCCTGTTTGAATAAAATTCTTTTCAAAATGTGAAAAATCAGAAAATATTTTTGTATTTAAATTAGAAATTTTCAAACAAACGAAGGGCATTTTTTTTTTTTTTTTTTTTGTTATCTGATACATATATTTACATAATTGTATTATGTACATTATGTTTACATATTACATAAATTCACATGTAGTAAATACCAAGAGAAAAATCAATTTAAAATCATGTTGGTAATATATATAATAAAAAAGTTATAAATTATGCAGTTTTAAATCATCATAAGTTATATTTAATAATAATAATACATAGAAAAAATATATAATTTTAAAATTTTAAACTCTTTTACCAGTTAAAACTCTTTTGTGGTATGACAGGGGCCTAGGAACAAGCAAGCTAACATTCATGTTCTGCAGAAGAGTAATACCTTCCTCCATCATGAAAGAACTTCATGAGAGTGTGCTTGAAACCAAACAAAGATGAGCCCTAGCCAGCAGCAGTAGCCATATCTCTACTGTTTTCCAGTATCTGATCCCTGTCCACAGACCTAGCATTGCAAAGGAATGGCTAGCTGCATGCCATTTGTAGGCCTAGACAGAGAGGAAACGAATGCACCTCTCCACTGAATGATGTCCATAAATTATTGGGTCAAAGAAAAAACATTGCATTTGCCATATAATATTTTTATTGTTTGTGCGAGGAATTAAAGTAATTCATATTTTGCCAAGAACTCAGTATGATAGATAAAGTTATCATATATTGGATTAATAATCTTTAAAAAATTTATATTATTAAAATAGAGGGAAAACCAAAATCTTTAGTACCCAGATCATTACCAATATTACCTCAGTTCTAGTCAAAGTTATTAGTAACTTTTTAATGTATAAGTACCATTTTAACTTACATGGTTTTATTATATATATCAAGAAATATATAAGTAGGCTAAAAATTCAAATTAAAAAATTAGAATAGGAATTTTTTTTAAACTCGTCCTGCGCTGTAACTGCAGGATTGAAGTAGAATAAACTTAAAGCATTTAAATTAATTAGTAAATTGGAATAAAAGCAAGGCAATTCCTCTATAATATAATAATTGCAACCATGTATAAGAGGTTTAACACAATATCAAAACTAATCCAATTAAAGAGAGAACTCGTAGTAGAACAATCTTGAAAAATAAAAATGCAAAAAGGAAAAATATACAAAATTATACAAATAAAAATTTAAAATTAATCTTCTTTTATTGAAACTCCAATTCAGAACTCATCGGGAAAATGAATCGGGGAAAATATGCAAAATTATACAGATAAAAATTTAAAATATTTATCAACTTTTATGAAGTTTTAATTCATTATCCCGTGATGTGTTCTGAATTGGAGTTTCAATAAAAGAAGATTTAATTTTTATTTGTATAATTTTGTGTATTTTTCTTTTTTGCATTTTGATTTTTCGAGATTGTACTACTGTGAATTCTCTCTTTAATTGGATTTGTGTTAAACCTCTTATACATGGTTGCAATTATTATATTATAGAAGAATTGCCTTGCTTTTATTCCAATTTGCTAATTAATTTAGATGCTTTAAGTTTATATATATATTTTCATTGTTTGAAATGTAAGGGAAAAGTCTGTGGAATTTCATGAAAATTACTTTGCAGCTAAAACATTATTGAATTTCAGATAAATTGCAGTGGAAAAGTATTTAATTTTAAATGGTCATTTGTAAACTGCAAAAAAGTTCAGTTAAAAAAATTGGAGGAAATGTTAAATTCGAAATAAAAGAAAGGATAATCTTTATTGGAAGTATTTCTGAAGCAAGTGCGAATGGAATGAAGTTATTCTAAGATTCACATACAACTAGACAAGCACATAAAGAAGTAATACGTGAATGAAAATGAAAATTCAGAAAAGCAACTTTATTTATAAAAATTTTTACTGGAGAAAAATGTTTAAAGCAATTTTTGGTCCTCATTTAATACATTTGTGTAATTCAAAGCAACAACTAATATGAAAATCAATGCATTGAAAGAAGCTGACATATCAAAAACTTGTTATGCAAATAATGCAATTTAATTAAATATATTTCTTTCAAGTACTGTAATTTAATGCTATAAAATAGAGTTATGAATTTAAGTCATTTAATACTGAACATTAAATTTCATCTTTCGTGTTGTAACTTGTTAGTGTTATGAGATTAATGTGTATATAGGGTGATTCAGAATTCATCATCAATATTTGGTGGGGAGGTAGGGAGATTTTACATAGGAAAGTATGGGTGCAGATGAACGTATAGTGGTGTAGGGAAAGTATGGGCGCAGATGAACGCATCGTGGTGTAGAGGGCATTGTGTGTACACAACTTCCGTACATAAGCACAGCTGTTTGATGTGTGCAGCCAGTCGTCGTTCGACTAGGTGACTTTGCAGAAGTAACATGAACCGGTACACGTGGAATGAACTTCCAGATATGCATGTAAACGCCAGGCATGTTCCAGAAGATCCGGTTGTCCATGCAATGCCATTGTGAGTCATGCATTCTAGCACATGGTCAGCAGTTCGAGCACCTCTTGTAAGTCTGTAAAACTGATGCAAAGAAATGTTATATATAAGATAATAAATGTTTTTTCCTTACTATTTCCTTTTTATGTGTTCTTTCCATCATTGAACTGGGATCATTTTGCCCTACTACATGGCATATGCACCCATGCATTCCTATGTGAAATCTCCTTCTTTTCCTATTCCCTACCTCCCCACCAAATATTCATGATGAATTCTGAAGCACCCTGTATATCACCTTCTGGGGTTTCCATTATGTATATCTCATAATGAAACATGCAATTTATTAAAACAAAAGAGATTGGCATCAAATTGAAATGTAAGCATGTTGTTGTCATATAATGAAAGATAGAAGAGCATGTTTATAATTATGATTCAGAATGCTTTTTTTTTTTTAATTGGTGTGTCGTATTTCAAAACTTTAGTGCAGTTGTACAATAATTATTTAGGACTTACTTCTGGTGGATTATATTTTTAAAAATGACTGCATATTATTATATTATAATCATATTCAATAACATTAGCTAAGGCTTGAGAATAGTTCTTTACAAAGTAAAATGTAGTAGAAGAAACTGAACATAAAAGTAACAAGCAATAATGCCAGATGCTGTTTTACTATCACTAGTGTCAAGAAAACCCAAAACTAATGCCATATATGCTGCTTTTTTAATTCATAATATGAAGTAGTCTTGAATGAAACTGAATTATTAATTTCATTTGTAGTTTTGCTTAACCATGAGTATCAAGTGCATTGTCTTTGCTAAAATGGTTCAGTTTATATTTACATGTGTGAACTGAAGTCATTTGTTACTTATCATAAATTGTTTTTATATGCCTTAAAAGTAGAACCTCTTTAAATTGTAACCTGGAAAATTTGATTTTGACGCAACATGACTTTCTTTCTTATACAATCTATTAAATTATGCTCACACATTTTCCTGCACTTTATTTAAACTTATTTCCTCAAATTATTCTAACTTAATCAACCGATCCCTCAAGGCAACTTGAAAATGAAATCAAAAACTGCAGATTTTAAAATTAAATATCCTAGTCAAGTTTTGTCATGCAGAAGTCAAACTTCTTATAATTTTATTTTTTCATAACGAATATAAAACTTTCCAAAATATAAGTACAGGAATTGGGAAATCGCATCAAACGTTAGATTTTGTTTCATGAAAATTAAATTCTTTTAAAAAAAATCTGACATTGCCAAAACATGAATATTTTCATCACTTAAAATGCTTCTGTAATTGGAAGTGTATATGACTATGATAAACACTCTAAAAATAAAGGCGGAATAAAAACTTTTAAGCCAGGTATAGGAGTGGATATATCTGTATGTATAAATGTTTGATTGTGTTGATTGAAATAAAAAAAAGAGAAATGCAACCCTAGGTGGTATAGCAGTCACTTGTACAAAATTTCGGTGTTCTACAGCTAATCGTATTTAAGATATGCAGCATAGGTTCATACAGACATCATGAAAAAAATCCTTTTTGAAGTCATTTTAAATCCATTTTGCAAAATGTTTAGTGGGAAAAAGTCCTTTATTCTGTGTGTATGTACATCTATCACGCAAAAAGCCATCCTATAGATTTGGGAATGGTCAAAATGAATATTTCCATTGAAATATGATACCTGAAATTTTTCACAACGCAATACTTCCTTTATTTCATTCAAGGAAGTAAAAATGAGCCTTGGAAGCGAAATTTACGTGCTTAAATGTTAGCCATGGCATTTTATTTTTTGTAAAGTACCTGCTAAAATTTATTATTTCAATATATTGAAATTTCCTCTTTATGATATCAATAATTGGTAAATCTTACTTATATATTATTAATTTTGGTTGATTTTGTATTATAGAATTGTTGTGGTATTGGAAACCATGATTAAAGTATATACATTTACTCAGAATGCACAGTTACTTCACATATTTGAAACATGCTCAAACTCCAAAGGTAAGCGAAAGTATCTATTAAATCATAACACTCCAAAATTTTTAAAAATAAATAAATAAAAGAGAGAAAGAAAGAAAGCAAACCTTTTTCATTTTAGGTAGATTTTTATAATTTTCGCTATACTTTTTGTGTTGCATGTCAGATTTTGCAGATTCAGCCATTGTTCCCTCAATTCAGAATTTAAATTTAACATCACTGTTTATTGCAGTTTTAAATCAGTGATAAATGTAATTAATGTATCATGATGAATAATTTTCATTTCTGATAAATTTTCAGTTTTTTAAATGTTCTTAATATTTGCAGGTTTATGTGTTTTATGCCCAAACAGCAACAATTCTCTACTAGCATTTCCAGGTTGTAAAAGTGGTCATGTTCACATAGTGGATTTAGCAAATACAGAGAAAGCTCCTTTAGATATAGCTGCTCATGAAGCTGCACTTAGTTGTATTGCTTTGAATTTAGTTGGAACAAAAATTGCTACTGCATCTGAAAAGGTAAGCATTTTTACTAGAAACCTCTTGTATATTTTAGTGCATCATAATTACCTTGAAGGGGGGCAGAAAAGATAATAGTGTTGTCAATAGTGGAAAAGACAATATCAATAAATTTTAACACTTTAGCTTTTATAAAGAAATTAGACTTGGGCACTAGTAACTCATCCATTTACTAATGTGTAATATGGGTGGCTTTAAAATTTTTATTATTGTGACTAAATTTTCTCTGTGTATAGCTCTATGTAAGCTGTGTTTTGTCATGTATATCTATATTGATCAAATAAATTTGGCTTTTAGTGATAAAATGCCACCCAAAACTACAGCTTGCAACTCATTTGAAAAGTTGACTAAATGTGAAGTAACATGAAAAAATGTTGATATTGTTTAAAAAATGATTTTTTTACATTATTGTGTTATTTACAAATTAAGGCATGATTGGGCATTTCAAAACTTAAAAGAATGCGTATGTTAAATGGTGCAGGAAAATGTAAAAATATTCCAGTGTGGTGCTTCAGACATTGTAATGAATGATAAAAATGTGGATTTTTCCTTGATCTGTTTTTCCTGTAGATTTTTAGGTGTTTCAAAATGAACTAAATTCTACAATGGGGGTTTGTGCACCTCTAGGGGTTGAGGTGCTACTCCATTTTAAGGACTATTCTACAGCCTACTTCAGATTAGTGTCTACTTTCTAATGCATTGTTGTTGTGTATTAACTGCTTCAGAGAAAATTATTGCTATTATTATTATTTTGGTAATTTCAGCCATGATGGAGCCATTGCTTTAGGATGTTATAGGAAAACTACTGACAGGTGAAACTGACCATAAAATTTGCCGAGATCTGACTAAATTTGTGCCAGTCAAGCAGAAGTTTGAAGGAACAGATCATTCTTTATTTAATTAGATAATCAGCATATACAAGTTACAGACATAACATATTAAACCTTAAACTGCTTATCATAATTTTTTTATATTGCACAGCCAATGTTTATCCATTTTCTTGATGTCAGGCTTCTGTAATTCTATTGCATGTTGGTTTGTGTTGAAGACAAATCCCAGACTTTATTCATTTTTTTTTTAAATGTGACTCTATTGCATGCTGTTAGACAAATCACAGACTTCAGTAATAATTTCTTTTCAAAATTTGAGTAAAAAACAGATAAATATCATTTAATTTATATTGTTTTTTAGAAAAAAATTAAACCAACTTATCAGAAATGAATTAGGTTTACATAAGTGTTACATCGTGCTAATCCATTTTTGGCTCTAAACTGCATCATTTGGTGATAGTTATTGCTTGATTTGAATAGTAATTCCATTTGTATATTATAGCAGAGTTACGAATATCTTATTTGCTTAATTTTACATTAAAAATATTTTTAAAAAAGTGAAAATTCAAATATATTCCAGTTACTTGAGCTTTTCGGTTAGTTGAATACTAGGTAGTCAGGCTTACTGCTGGGATTTTTCTGTGAACATCTTTTACAATATTTATTTGCATTTTATGAAGTTATTCTCTGGCCTTTAACAGGTGATAAGTGGAGGAGTTCTTTCATCTAAATATGGTGACTGATTCATTATTTCCCAGCCAACATCAGTTTCTCCTTTCCAGTAGGCATATGTGGTCATATATTTTCTTAGTAAATAGAATTCTTTTGTTAACTAACAATTGTTATTTTCTGCAGTTGCTTTCTTGAATTATAAAGTGTCTGCTAACAGATATGCAAATTTAATCGGAATTCAACTATTCAAAATGAAAAATTCTGTCTATATTATTTCCAGCATATATTTTTTTGCAAATAAAACCTTGTGCTCATTTTGTGCTGAAGAATAACTCCAGGGTTTAAACTTTCCCATAGCACCATCTAATATGGAATGTGATCTATCAAAACTGTCAAGGTTTCCTTTTTGAAATTTTCAGGAGCAGTAAGTTTAGTAGAAATGGGGAAACAAGCAATAGAGGTGTTTTCTATGGAACATCCAAAAATTGACAAACTGAAAAGTGAGATAAAATTTATTGAAATATTATGGGTAGGAGACAATATGCATTTCGAGTTTCATTCTCCTTCAGTGATGAGGAAAAGAAGTAATCCCATAATAAAGGCCTGTGAAATGAGGGCCATAGATGCTCATACTGCAGGAACATGTAATGTTGTAGATAAAGGAGTTCAAATCAAGTGACTTTAAACTATTAGACTGTTGTTGCACTGTTTGACAAAGGGGCAGGTCTCGTTGTCTCCGGCATTAAGATGCAGAAAAACAAACAATTGGCATTAGCTGCCAAAGAATCTAATGTTTTTATCCAGAATCAGATCATTAGAAATTTTAATATGAAGTCATTTATACGTAAAATGGAAATAAATAGATCTGTGTTTGCTCTGGCATGGAATGTAGTACCAATTACCCAACTGAGCTATCAAGCGATGATTTTGATAGATATTCTTAATCAAGCCCAGTTAAATTTTAATAAAATGTTATTGAGTTTTGTAAAAGAGACAAATATGTTGTTTATGCAGGTATCTGAACTAAGCAATGAACATAAAATTGAGTTGAGTCACATTCATGACTAGCAAGTGGGGACAAAGTTGAGAAGGTTATTTGCTTGATTGAAAAAGTAGAAAATCCACGAACAGTTTTTGTTTTCATGAAGACAGTTCTGACTAGTGATTCATCAATTTACCAGAAAGCATGTTGTCTGTCATTGCCTAAAAAAAAAAGTTAAGAGACAGATCCAAGAGTGGTTGGAGCAAAGAATTATTATGCCTCTCTTATCTTTGCCAATCCAGTGGTATTGTTGCAGGGAAAAGATAATACAATCAATTATTTGTTAATTATAGAAAATTAAATAGAAAACTTTTCAGATGTATTTCCCTTTGATAGAAGATGTTTTGGACAAATTACAAATGCCAAAATGTGCAGATAGATTTGAAATAGGCTGAAAGATTTAAAAAATGATATTTTTCATGTAATTGTCAATGAGAACAATCATAAGTTTACTTCCTCTGCTATTTTATACAGACAATTTGAGTTAAAAAGTCCAATTCAGGTTAAGCATTACTCTGAGTGTTTTTTTCAGAAGTATGTCTATACAGAGTTTGTACAGTCATGCCTATGTGCATGTGTCAACGTGGCGCGTGCGCAGAAAGATTTTAGCTTTGAGGTCCGGATTATAGATCATTCCGGATTATGGGTGTCCGAATTAATGACTTTTGGCTGTATTTGAATGTTTTACTTCTGATACTAGAAGTCCTTTTTCTTAACATGTTTATCTTTCCTTTTTTCCCACTTTTCACTAAACACAAGCATAGAAAGATATCAAAACTGCTTTTAATCTTATCACATGGACAGGCATTTATAGAAAGGAATTTTTCTATTAATAAAGAAATTGGAAACTGACAATTTAAAATACTGACAATTATGTCTCAATGCATCATCTGTGGCATAGCTAGGTTGGAGCAAGAGGGAACATCTGTCCCTGGGTGCAGCATCCATGAAGTGCCAAATTGATGTTACAAAATTTTAGAATGAAATGTTTTTCATTCTTGGCACACAGGAAGGGGGTGTAAAATCTTCAGTTGTCCCCGGGCGCTGGAAACTCTTGCTACGGCTCTGTGCATCACACACAGGGCTGGTGCTGCACATTTTCCACCTGATGCAATCTGTGTGGATCCTAAATTCTGCTGCCTAGTGCCTTTCTAAATTCTAAAATTTTGCCATTTCTAGATTTTGTTGCTCGATGTGTCACTAAATTCTAAAAATTCTGCTACACCGGCTCTGTAACTCAGGCCCTTACCATATGTCATTTCATATTTATTCTGAACATTCATGTTTCTAAAGAAATAAAATTAGCACCTTTTCCTATACATTTAGTTTTTTAAAATAACAGAAATCTTTAATTAAATACAAAAATTCTAAAATAAAGAGGAAACATATTGAAGAAAGAAACCAAATGCATAAAGAAAAAGAAAATTATTCTTCAAAGATAATATGTACAATTATTATTATGTAAATTAAGCAATTGTATATAATTTCAGCTTTTGCTATAATTTACCCTTTCTGTTTCCTCACCAGAGTGAAAATCACTTAAATAGTTTTTAAACTAAGGTTTTGGGTTAGTAAGGCAGAATTTGTTTCTGGCCTCCACCTTGCACAGTGCATTAGTTCCTAGTAGCTCTGGTAATTTGTAATTACTCATCTTTGCATTATCTTTGCTGATGTTTGACAGGTTAGGAGATAAAGGGATAAAGATTAAATTAGCGAACTAGCTAATTTAATTATTTGTAACTAACTGGTCACCCTTAAAAATTATTTCTGCATATTAAAGTGAGTTATTGCCTTTTATTAATCTTTTCTGTGGTCACCAGATACAGCACAAAAATATAAAAATTAATGTAAAATTTAATTTTTTGCATCCAGTGCGACTTAAAATAATACAAACAACTTATCGCCTCTGATGCATGAGTGGCTTATTGGAATCTTAAAATATAGTAACTGGGTTGCAACCCCAGGAACTCTACACAAAGTTATGACACTAACTGCATCAGACAGGCAGAGCACATCTAACTTTCAAAACCTGTTAACTATGGCTACATCAGGCTTTCAGGTTTGTTCTGATCAGCAAGCCTCTCTCTAGCCAAGCAGCAGTGGTGGCAGTGGCCAGTCTTCTGTAATGAATCATGCTGATTATGATTTTACTTCTCATTTTAACCTATGACATGCCATTGACATAAAATCTACCTGCTATTTACCAAACCTCTAAACAGAGCAAGTACGTGACAGAATGAGACATAAAAGAAAAAGTCAGCTTTGTAAAATGTATATAAAATGTCACTAATCTTCTTTAAAATATGATGTATTATTATAAGGGTAAAATATTTAATGCTCCCTGATAAATTTTATAAAGTATATTTTATTCTTAAATTTGTTTTATAATTATGTTTATTAAATGATGTTTAATAATAATGCATTCTACTTGTGGATCTATTTTATTCTTAGGACAA